CAAAAGGCTGACACCTTCCAACACAATAGGATTACTCCTGAGGAAGATTGGTGAAATGAGTGTATAACTGGGTGCTCATTGAGGATGTTGGACTTTCCCTTCAAAATGTTAGAATTTCCTTAGCAATATTGTAAGTGTTTCTTTGTTTGATATAATTAATTGCAAGAGAGGCAGGAATTGGAGCAAGCAGCCAGAGGAGTGGTTGTCCCACCCTTCTGGGGAATCATCCGCCGACTCCTACCCCAGCCTTCTCCCCAGCACCCCTTCCTTAAAGGTAAAGGTCTCCCTTGCTCGAAAGCCATTCGAGTCCGACTCTAGGGTTGCGGTGCTCATCTCCATTTCAAAGCCGAAGAGCCGAAGAGCCAAGGAACGCTGTTACCTTCCCACCGAAGTGGTACCTATTTATCTACTTGCAATTTCTTGCTTTCGAACTGCTAGGTTGGCAGGAGCTGGAACTAGAAACGGGAGCTCACTCCGTCATGCGGCACCCTCGGGTCTCGAACTGCTGAACTACCGACCTTCCACAGCCTGCAGTTCAGCGTCTTAACCACTTGAGCCACCGCAGCTCCTTCCTTGGAGACCCCCTAATGTCATGTCCTGCTTTGTGCTTGGGGAGATCAGAACCTTAGAGCTTCTCTGTGGGCCATCAAGCTCTGGTGTTTTCCAGTCCACCTGCCCTCTAGGACCGGTCACCAGCAGGGGCAGTTCTGGGATGCTTGTTGGAGGGGGGGAGCTTTGCTGACCTTGTGTCGTGGCTGACTTTGGGGTGCGCCTTCTTGCCCAACAGGCCTGCCAGTCTGATGAGCTGACCATTGTCCAGGGGGAGGAGCTGGAGGTCCTAGAAGATGGCGACGTGGAGGAATGGGTCAAGGTTAGTGCAAGGAAGCTGGGACGGCTTTCTCTGTGCAGAAGCCATGCTGGAAAGCCCGGTTCTGTGCTGACACAGGCTAGATGGCTCCGCGAGGCACCTTGAGGACTACATGGCTCATGGCAAAAGTTCGGTCCCCTTTGGCAGTGATGCTCATGGTAAGGCGTAAACTGAACACCCACTTGTAGTCTGGGACAGAGAGAATGCACAGTACAGGGACTTTGGGTATCAGTTGGCAGTCAGACCGTTTAAGAATGTGAGAACATTAGAAGAGCCCTGCTGGATCAGACCAGTGGTCCATCACACAGTGGCCAGCCTGCAGGTCCAGCAGCAGGGCATAGAGATAGAGGTCTTCATAAGAACGTAAGAAGAGCCCTGCTGGATCAGACCAGCGGTGCATCTGGTCCAGCATCCTGTCTCACACAGTGACCAACCAGTTCCCCTGGAGGGCCAACAACAGGGCAGAGAGGCCGAGGCCTTCATAAGAACATCAGTAGGGCCCTGCTGGATCAGACCAGTGGTCCATCTAGTCCAGCATCCTGTCTCACACAGTGACCAACCAGTTCCTCTGGAGGGCCAACAACAAGGCAGAGAGGCCGAGGCCTTCATAAGAACATCAGTAGGGCCCTGCTGAATCAGACCAGTGGTCCATCCAGTCCAGCATCCTGTCTCACACAGTGACCAACCAGTTCCTCTGGAGGGCCAACAACAAGGCAGAGAGGCTGAGGCCTTCCCCTGATGTTGCCTCCTCCTGGCTCTGGGATTCAGACGTTGACTGCCTCTGAACATGGGAATTCCTGTTAGTCACCATGGCTAGTAGCCACTGATAGATTGGATCTATCTAATCCCCCTTTAAAGCTATTTATGCCTATGGTCATCACTTCATCCTCTGGCAGCGAATTCCACATTTGAATCACTCACTGTGCAAAGAAGTATTTCCTTTTGTCCATCCTGAATCCGCTGCCCATCAGCTTCATTGGATGTCCTTGAGTTCTAGTATTTAGGGAAAGGGAGAAAAAATTCCCTTTGTCAACTCTCCACCCTGTGCATAATTTTATACCCCCCCCCCTTTCCTGTCTCTGTTCTAAACTGAAAAGTCCTAGATTCTCAACCTTTCCTCATAGGGAAGGCGCTCCAACCCCCAATCATCTTGGTTGCCCTCTTCTGTACTTATTTCAGCTCTGCGGTGTCCTTTCTTGAGATACGGTGACCAGAACTGCCCACAGTTTGGGCAGGTAGTCTTAGCAAGGCAACCCTGCACGCTTCTTTAAAGGCCATCCTCTACGTTGCTTGTCCCACCTGCTTTCAGGCACGCAACCAGGCAGGACAGGTTGGCTACGTCCCTGAGAAATACCTCCTCTTCCTGGATTCCGTGGGCAGAACCTGTGTAGTCCCAGATGGGGGCAGCCAGGAGGGCTCTTCAGAGAAGAAGAAGGAGCTGACAGACCTCATGCTGGAGCCCGGAGGTGAGTCTCGCTGATAGGGCAGAAGTGTTATGTGTGTGTGTGTGTGTGTAGGCTGGAAGAACTAACCCCAGTGTGTTTCCTCCTTCCGCCCATGTCTCCGCCTTGTGGTCAGAGTCCGCCACTAGAAGGAGCTGTCCCTGACTGTGCCTGTAGGGTGCGGGGTGGTCCTAAACACCCCTGCATTTTAACTCCAGCTTTTCCCCTTCTGTTTGCAGCCTGGCTAGTCCGGGCCCTGTATGACTATGAAGGGCAGAGCCCGGAGGAGCTCAGCTTCCCAGAGGGAGCCATCATCCGAGTGCTGCCCCGCGAGCAGGGGACGATTGATGATGGCTTTTGGAAAGGGGACTTCAATGGGAGAGTTGGCGTCTTCCCGTCCTTGGTGGTGCACGAAATCATGGGCGCTCCCAGGGGAGCTGAGCAGGTGAGTCCCAACGGGAGCTCGTTTCTTCCCCTCCCCTAGGGAACGGAGGCTGGGATGGGTTGGGACCAGTGTTCCCTCTAAGCTGAGTTAGTGTGAGCCGGTTCACCGTTTTGTAGCCTCTGGCTCACACATTTTTGCCTTCGCTCAGGAAGGACGGCTCCAGAGCAAACTAACTTACGCAGTAGCCAAATCGCTCGCTCACAACTTGAATGCCAGTAGCGAACAAAGTAGAATTTTTGCTCACAAGACTCCACAGCTTAGAGGGAGGATTGGTTGAGACACCCGGCATCTTGTTAACCTCAGGGGTCATTAATGCCCTCCCGTCCACTGAGTGTCCCTCCTGCTGCTGGAGCATTTTTTTTCCCAAAAACAATTTATTAGGATATATTATTAGTTCAAACATACAACATATTATTTTTTGTTATACATCCTTTCTTCTCTCCCCCCCCCCCTTTCTGGCTTCCCACAGTGCTCCAACCTCCAGCCCATTTCTTAGTTCTTTTCTATTTTCCACTTATCTTCTATTCATAGTCTACCGGTAACGCTTCTTTCTACTAGTATTTTCTCTTCATTAACTTTCATCTAATAACATTAACTTTTCGATAATTGTCAAAGCAAATTAAATTGTCCTTTACATCCCAATATTTTTCTAAATACTCTTTAAAGTCTTTCCAATCTGCATAGAATTCTTCTGCCTCAGGGTTCTTAAGTTTCCTTGTCATTTTGTCCATTTCAACCATGAATATTAATTTCTTTATCCATTCCCCGATTTCCGGGATTCTGTCTTGTTTCCAACACTGTGCATAGGTCATTCTAGCAGTTGTGATCATATACCACATCAGTGTTCTTTTCTGCACATTAACTTCTTCCATTTTTCCGCTGCTGGAGCATTTGACAAGCCTTCTCCCTTCTCCCAAACATGGGCGTGGGGCCAGGAATGACATGCACTCAGCATGCTCAGAACATCTCTAAAGTGGAGCGCAACTCTGGTGTTCCTTCTATGCCACCCAGCCTTCCTTTATTCCAAGCTGAAGAGGAGACCTGGTCGTAGTCCATGGATTGGGTTGAAGCTAAATTTTCCACTAAGTGAGGGGTGTGTGTGGCAATTTTCACCAGTTTTCCTCCTCTGCTTTTAGACCCCTGATTTTCCCCTTGTAAATTCTGGAGGATACACCATTTGGTTGACATTAGGAGACTGCCACGGGAGGGCCGTTCTGCTGGTACCATTTTTTGGGGTGTTTTGTTTTCAAGCCTTCCTTAATGCAGTATTTGGAGAAAACTTCTCATAATCTTTGCAGACCAAATCTCACCCAAGAGAGCAGAGTATCATCAGCGTAAAGGAGAACGGGAATATCGCAGTTGGCCACACAGGGTGAATGACAAAGCTCATTAAAGAAAGTTGGAAGATCGTTCATGTATAGCTTGAACCAGGGCTTTTTTTTCCTGGGGGAACACAAGGGAACGGAGTTCCGGAATCTCTTCAGCAAAATTCTTTTTTAAAAAATGTTTAAAAGTTTTCAACATACCGATTAAGAATGTCATTTCCCTCCTGAGAGTTCCGGCACCTCTTTTTTGTAGAAGAAGACGACGACGATGACGTTGTCATCGTTGTTCTGGGTTGAACAAAAGCGGGGACAAAAGGCAGCCCTGCTACCTTTTTATTGAGGTTAAATGGCTCAGTCGGGGCATAAGAACATAAGAGATGCCAATGTTGGATCAGGCCAAAGGCCCATCCAGTCCAACACTCTGTATCACACAGTGGCCAGAAATACCAGTGCCATCAGGTGGTCCACCAGTGGGGCCAGGACATTAGAAGCCCTCCCACTGTTGCCCCCCCCAAACACCAAGATGACAGAGCATCACTTGCCCCAGAGTCCCTATCTATACCTTGTGGCTAATAGCCACTGATGGACCTCTGCTCCACATGCCTATCTAATTCCCTTTTGAAGCCGTCCATGCTTGTAGCCACCACCACTTCCTGTGGCAGTGAATTCTAAGTGTTACTCTTTGGATGAAGAAGTACTTCCTTTTATCCGTTCTAACCCGACCGCTCAGCAATTTCATGGAGTGCCCACGAGTTCTTGTATTGTGAGAAAGGGAGAAAAGTACCTCTTTCTCTACCTGCTCTTTCCCATGCATAATCTTATAAACCTCAATCATGTCACCCCTCAGTCGTCATTTCTCCAAGCTAAAAAGCCCTAAGCGCCTTAACCTTTCCTCATAGGGAAAGTGTTCCAACCCTTTTATCATTCGAGTTGCCCTTTTCTGCACTTTTTCCAAAGCTATAATATCCTATAATAACTGTCATAGCCACAGCAGAGCTGACCTGTGAGGTCTGCATAAAGTTGCTGCATGAGCCATAGGTAAAGGGTAAAGGTTTCCCTTGTTCGAAAGCCAGTTGAATCCGACTCTAGGGTTGCGGTGCTCATCTCCATTTCCAGGCCAAAGAGCCAGTGCTGTCCGAAGACGTTTCCGTTGTCATGTGGCCGGCATGACTAGACGCCGAGGCACACGGAACCCTGTTACCTTCCCATCAAAGCGGTACCTATTTATCTACTTGCAATTTCTTGCTTTCAAACTGCTAGGTTGGCAGGAGCTGGGACCAGAGACAGGAGCTCACCCCGTCATGCGGCACTCGGGTCTCGAACTGCTGAACTACCTGCCTGCAGTTCAGTGTCTTAACCTCTTGAGCCACCGCATAGCAGCCTTTTATCAGTCGTGGTGTGTCGCTGCTTTTCCCAGAGTTCTCTATAGTATCCCCTAAGAGCCAAGATAATGAAACTGAAGCTCAAATACTTTGGTCACCCAATGAGAAGGGAGCCCTCACTGGAGAAGACCCTGATGCTGGGAAAGATTGAAGGTCAAAGAAGACGGGGACGGCAAAGGATGAGATGGCGAGACAGTGTCATCGATGCAACGAACATGAAGTTGAGCAAACTTCAGAGGACGGCGAAAAACAGGAGGGCCTGGCGAGATCTTGTCCATGGGGTCGCGAAAAGTCGGACTCGACTGTGCGACTGAACAACAACAAAAAAGAGCCAAGAATTCCCTCAGAACAAGTACTGTATTATGGCTCTTTAGCTCCCGATGTTTTCGCTGTAGTTCCTGCGCTTCTTGTCAAACCATGTACCAGAATTCTTGGGGGCTGGGGGGCACATAAAAGGAGCGCTATCAGGCGCAATTCTAGAGCGCGAGGGCTTGAAGAGGGACAGTAGCCTGTACAAGATAGTTAGAGAGCTCCTAGCTACATCCAGACCCAAGTAATGATCTCCTGAAAGAGAATACTTCTGGGGAGGCCATCGTATCTCGGGCCTGGCAGAGGAGAGAGTTCAAGATAGAGCCACAGGAACTGTGTAAAGTGCGCTCAATGTTTCTTTAAAGATAGCTAATACATTCAAATTGTAAATCCAGTTACATAAGATAGAAGATAACAACGGCGGCGGGACGGTGGTCTCCAGAATGGGGTGCCGTTTCGACAAGCGTCTTCTTCTGACCAAGAATCTATAAGTGGATGATGTGTGGAAAATTGCACTTCAATAGAACAGCTACCCAATTCACATAAGCTTTATTTCCGCTGAGAGAAATTTTCTCCATTACTTGTGCAATGAAATAGGTGGAACTGTTACTGAACTCCATGTGAATCGGGTAGCTATTCTATTGAAGTGCAGTTTTCCACACATCATCCACTTATAGATTCTTGGTCAAAAGAAGACGCTTGTCGAAACGGCACCACATTCCGGAGACCACCGTCCCGCCGCCGTCATTATCTTCTATCTTATGTAACTGGATTTACAATTTGAATGTATTAGTATCACTTTTGTAATTTTCATTTTTATAGCATTATTGCTATCTTTAAAGAAACACTGAGTGCACTTTACACAGTTCCTGTGGCTCTATCTTTTCATGTCTATGGACTGTGACCATATTTGTCTTTGTACATACAGAGAAGAGAGTTCCACACGTCAGCTTCCTGTTGCTGGCACTTCCTTACTGTTTGACACACTGCAGGGATGATGAATCAGGGTTTGCACCCTGCAGAACCTGCTTCAGCGCCCCAGTGAGTCCCAGGAGTTCCCTTCGTCGGCTCTGAGAGCAGCATGTGTTTCTGTTCCAGGATTTGCCTTCCCCCGCACCTCCCGAAGGCTCCCCTCCAGTCCTGGACCCGACGGTAGCGTCTCCTGCAGAAGCACTTGTGGGGGGTGAGTTACTGGAGAAATCAACCCTCTTAATTCCTCAAAAGAGGGCCTCTGGAGCAGGCAGGCTGTTCTCAAGGGGACGGAGGCTGGGCTGCAGATCCCTGGCATGGCTCAGTGTGCTTGAGGCCAGAAGCCCTGAGTGTGTATTTGAACATGTTCTCAAGGGAAGGGCATGATGGAGCTGCGGGAGGAGGGTAAAATATTTAAGTGAAAGGGTTGGGGAGGCCTTTGCAGGGCATTGGAAAGGACGGTTCAGGCACTGCTGTATTTTTTTGTGTGTGAGTATGTGTGCGTGTGTGTGTGTGCCTGGAAGTCATGGTTTATTTATTTATTTATTTTATTTCATTTATACCCTGCCCTCCCCGCACGCGGGTTCAGGGCGGCTTACATAGGCACAACAGTGCAATAAAATAACTTCTGGAGACTTCTGGAGACCCCTAGTGGAGCTTGGACATTTCAGAGAGGTGGCTTGGTGTAGTGGTTAAGTGCTTGGACTCTAAACTGGGAGAACCGGGTTTGATTCCCTACTCCTCCACCTGCACCTGGCTGGATGACCTTGGGCAAGCCGTCGTTCTGTCAGCCCCACCTACCTCACAGGCGGTGTTCCCTCTAAGCTGAGTTAGTGTGAGCTAGCTCCCCAATTTGTAGCCTCTGGCTCACACATTTTTTGCCTTAGCGCAGGAAGCATACTAATTTATGCAGGAGCCAAATTGCTCGGTCACAACTTGAATGCCAGCAGCTCACAAGGTAGGATTTTTGCTCACAAGACTCCACAGCTTAGAGGGAG